GGGGACAGCCAGGCTTTTGTGGTGTATGATCTGTTCTGGGGTCTCACTGCAAGGACGAAGTGGACAAACAGGCTGGAAACCACCTATTGCCTCTACAACTCCCAAAAGAGACAAGATCTAGAGCCAAACTCTCAAACTAGAGTTGGGGTAGTAGGGTCGAATCTCTTCCTAAGATCTCGGGCAAAGCCCTGGTGCTTGATGGCATACGTTGTGAGTCAAGCCTCTGCTACAGGCTTAAGGATGAATGCTATATCATGGGGCTGGAGAGATGGCTTAGTGGTGAAGAGTCCCGGCTACTCCTTCAGAGGACCTGGTTTCAAAACAAGGGACGGAGAGACAACTCAGCAGTAAAGAGCACTTGTTCTCACAGAGGACCTGGTTTGATTCTCAGCACCCACATAGCTGCTTACAACCTTATATGACTCCAGTTCAGGGGATACCCTCCACTGACCTCCTTGGCACCAGGCATGTGTGGAACACATGCATAAATGCAGGCAAAAAACTCACACACAGAAGAGCATCAGATCCCGTTACAGATGGTTGTGAGCCACCATGTGGTTGCTGGGAATTGAACTCAGGGCCTCTGGAACAGCAGTCGGTGCTCTTAACCACGGAGCCATCTCTCCAGCCCGCTGTTCTCTTCTTGAGGTATGGAATTTTGGGGACTATTTAAGGGAAGACAGGTTCTAATACGAAAAATTTCACGGCTAACCATAGTGTAGCCTGTAGACTGGAATACATTTTACAAAAGGTTGACAGTAGTTCTTTCTGTTCAGGCTCCAAACAGCCCGGCTAGGGGGGACTGTGGATCTCATCGTGGGGAGGATCGGGGTCTGTGCAAAGCTTTCTCCGGGAGCACCCTTCCTCTGCCGGTCAGTGTAGCCGGATGCGGGAATTGTGGCAACCAACACGGGGGTGAACCAAGGGCTGAAGGCCGGGCTGAGGTCGCCCACCACACCAGGGCCGCGGGGTTGGGCAGAAGCAGCCTGCTCTGAGCCGCTCTGGGCTCAGGCACCAGGAGGTCCCTGACCAATGTCCCGCTTAGCCGCAACCGCGCTACCCAGACCTGGGCGCCCTGCAGAGCACGAGCCACCCGCCCCGTCGGGGCTCCTAGGCTCCACGGGCGCAGCGCAGGGTTCCGGGACCGGGCCCCGCCCGGCCACGGCCCACGCCCAGCTCAGCTCCGCTACTGGGCTCGGCCTGGGCTCGCCGGGGCTCGGCGGGCAAAGGAGGAAGGAGGGAGCCGCGGGCAGCGGAAGGGGGAGGAGAGGACCCGGCCCAGTCAGTGCGCACTGGCCGGGCGCTGGAAGTGAGACACGGAGCAGCGGCGCCCGGACCGGTCAGCTCTGCACCGGCCGCCGAGTGAGTCTGTGCGCGGGGCCGCGGGGGTGGCGGGACAGCGGCAGTGGTGGGGGCTCAGGGCGCAAATCGGAGGGAGCGGGGCCTCCACCAGCTCATGGCGGCCGGCCTGCCGGAGGGCGGGCCGAGCACTGCGGGAGCGGTCGCTCCGGCCCGGCTGGGGCCTCCGCCCGGAGCAGGCCTGCGGGGCAACAGGTAGAGGCTGGAGCCGGGCGCTCGCTCTGGATCTGAGGCACAGACGCCCCTTTGTTGGGAGTGGAGCAGTAGCCGACCCTTGCTGCTAGAAGCCCCTGGGGGCCCGCGTGCGTCCTAGGGCCTGAGTGTGGAGGCCGAGGACGAGCAGTGGCGGCCCCTGCTGCTGTTGCTGCTACTCGGCCGCCGCCGCCTCTGCCGCTGCTGCTGAGCCCCTTGTGCTCATCCCAGGAGGGAGGTTAGAGCGTCCATGTGCCTAACGGGAAACAGGAAGGAGTACACTAGAGTGTCTGTCCCAGCCCCAAAGGGCTAACATTCCTATACCGTTATGGGGCGTGTGTGTCCCGCTCTGGGTGGTAACTTGCTAATTACAGGCCCAGAGGCCCTCAAGCTAGTTGACTAGCAGGTGGGTGACATTCCTTTTTAGACTGAGCTTGGGAGTTCCTGCACCTAAGACACACTCCTGGCATCCAAACCAGATCTCAGTTATATGAGTTGCCAGCCTCAGCTGTCAGGTGTTCTAAGCACTGTGAGGTCTGGAGTGGGGGGTTCTTCCTAGAGAACTGAATTAGGGAAGGCCTCCAGAAATTACTTCTGTTTGTGTTAGAGCTGGGGTAGGAAGTCACTTCCCATCCCAGAGCCGAGGTGACCAGTTGTTGACTGCATTTGTGATGGGGCTCTTAAGGGTAAGGATTCTGTCCCTTAGGTCTTGTTTCTGGCCACACACTGCCTAATTTCTAAGGTGTGTGTGTGTGTGTGTGTGTGTGAGAGAGAGAGAGAGAGAGAGAGAGAGAAAGAGAGAGAGAGAGAGAGAGAGAGAGAGAGAGAGAGAGAGAGAGAATTGGTCCTTCTGTCTATTACTGCCTCTACTGCCTCATACCCCTCTATTCTCACTGGGCCTCTGGATAGGTTTCTCTCTGGGAAGAGGGGCCTTTCCCCCTCTGTTGCTGGCCACAGGCAGACTGACACTGTACAATTCCTTTCAGCATCACCCCACTTGCAACTGCTACTTAATCCTTAATCCTACTGGCCTTTCCCTGTCCCTGGGGGGGCATATTCTTGTACAGTGTTTGGGGTTGGGGCAGGGAAGTTTGTGACACATCCCACTGAAGCTGTAGGCCACAGAAGCCGGAGGCCACTGTTGTCACAGCCTCACCCTCTTGCCTTTCCCAGAGTCTGACCCATATTTTTGGACTCGTGCTGTAGCCTGAAGCAGTTGACACACCTTTTGACTTCTGTTGCTCTTCACTGTCTAGAAAGGCGTTTATGAGTAGCTACTGTTACCTGAAAAGAAAGTTTTCAAAAGTCTACTTAGGACTATTTTGCCTTTTTCATGTTTGCTTAGACTTGAGAGCCTGTGAAGAGTCCCTTTCACTCTATCCCCTGTCCCACTGGGTCTGGGGTTTTCTTTTGTTTTTGTTTTTCGAGACAGGGTTTCTCTGTGCAGCCCTGGCTGTCCTGGAACTCACTCTGTAGACCAGGCTGTCCTTGAACTCAGAAATCCGCCTGCCTCTGCCTCCCAAGTGCTGGGATTAAAGGCGTGCGCCACCACTGCCCGGTTTATAGGTTTCTTATGGGTTACATGGCTACCCTCCCAGCCTTCTGGGTCTGCAGGCGCCCGTCTCTTGCCCCCTTTTCACTTGGGTTGGAGGGTCTTTGAGGGGGAGGATCAATCAGAGTTGGAGCAAAGGTTGGAGCCAGGCAAGAACCCTGCTTAAGTTTCGAGTAACATAATGCTTGTGAAATCTGTGCTGTACTGGCTCCTCTTCAGCCTGTGTCTCAGGAAGTGTGCAGGTGTGCGTGAGGAGGACAGATAGACGGACACTACACTGTATCTCTTCGTGTGTGCAGGCGGTATAATTTTTGTGAGTGGAAAAGTTGCAGGTGTAATCAAGTTGCAGGTGTAATCAAGGTGTAATCAGCCCTTAGGGGCTGGATGTCGCCCTCTCTTGTCCTGATTTCTTGTTGATGGAATGCTCTTTGTCTGGTGTGTTGGTGCCAAGTAGCCACCAGGGGTGCAGCAGGGAGCAGACGATCTGTGTAAGGCTGGAAACCCTAGTCCCTTCCCTTCCTGTTGAGTTAAAAGTCCTGACTCTGCTGCATCGGGTGCAGCTTCTCTGCTGTGGAAGTTCAAAACAGCAAAGAAAGCAAGCTTGAAGAAAGAAACAGCAAGCATGGAGCCCAGTGTGCAGGCCCCCAGCAGTTTTCACTGCCCAGTGACAAAGCACGGGGCTGCCTGGGGCTGAGATAGGTGTTTTGTTCTGTAATACCCTGTTGGGCTACCCAACCCCCACCCTCTAGCTCCTTACCTTCTTTATAGGGATAAGAAAAGCACTAGACATTCCTATGCAGCTGGAGCCCAGGAGAGAGGCTCCACCCGCTCTCTGGGCCCTTAGCTAGCTCTCTGAATCTTTAACCCTCAAAAAGTTCAATCAAGAAAAACATTTCAGCACTGGGTAGTGGTGCCTTTAATCCCAGCACTTGGGAGGCTGAGGCAGGTGGATTTCTGAGTTCCAGGCCAGCCTGGTCTACAGAGTGAGTTCCAGGACAGCCAGGGCTACACAGAGAAACTCTGTCTCAGAAAAAAACAAAAAAACAAAAAAGAAAAGAAAAAAAAGAAAGAAAGAAAAATAAAACATCTTAGTTATGGGATGGCATGGAGATAGCCCAAGGCTAGGATTTTCTGCATACTTGAGCTTAGGTCTCCTTGGAGGAAAAGTTAGGCACTACGAAACACAGTAGCCAGGTGACAAGGTCAGGTATGGGTCCCTACCTCTTATCCAGATAACCCAAAAGGTAAGAAGGAAGAAGTGGGGTGTCCAAATTGCTCCTTCAGTTGGCCTTCTGCCTTCTTCCCTTCCCTGTTCGGTTTTCTTCTTTTCTCTAGGAAGAAAGTGTGCCTGTGGGGGTAGTTACAGGGAATTCTGCCCTTTGGAGAGGCTTCCACTCTTTAACAAATTAAATATTCAGGTTGAATGCCTTTAATCCCATCACTTGGGAGGCAGAGGCAGGCAGATTTCTGAGTTCGAGGCTAGCCTGGTCTACAGAGTGAGTTCCAGGACAGCCAGGGCTACACAGAGAAACCCTGTCTCGAAAAACCAAAAAAAATTAAAATAAAATAAATAAAAATTCAGGTTGAGGTGAAGGGGAGGGGACAGTGCTCTCTCCGTGTTGGGCCTGGAATGAATAATGGGGATGTGTGTGCCATGTGTGTGCTGCTGAAAATCCTTTACTGTCTGTGCTGACCTCTGAGTTCATCCAAAAGAGCGGTGACCAGCAGTGGGGACCAGAGGGTAAAGTCCTTGAGCTGGAATACTGACTGACCTGTGACAGAGGGATTTCGCAAGTGCTTCTGTGGAGGGTGGAGGCGGGGCTGTTGAAAGAGCCAACCAGACCTAGGACCAGCCTAGCTCAGCTGTGGGCTGAGGGTTCCACCTCCTTCAGCAACTCCATATTCAGTGCCTGGTGCCTCTGCTCACCACTGGTCCACAGGCTGCTGCTCGGTTCCTCTCCATCTGGGAGACCACCTTTCTCCTGTCACAGCTCATAGTCTTTAGGTCAGTCTGCATGCTGCCACCTCTCCTCCCTATTCATAAGAGGAAGAGAGCTGTGGAGCCTGGAGGACATCCCTGACTCTCCTATTGGCAAGTCTTAGAGTTTCCAGACTTTGTGTTGATGCGTGACCCTTCAGGGACACCTGAAGGTGGCTTCTCAACCCCAGCCAGCTGCCAAAGACTATTCCCTGCCTTATCTAGGTTCCGGTGGTCAATGCCACATTGCTCTTTCTGTGAAGGGAAGAAGGGAAGTTGAAGGCAGCAGCTCTTTCCTGGCTTGAGGATGCTGGCTGGTTCCCTTGCAGGCAGGTTTTTATGTACTCAGTAAGCCTTTGAAGGGATAGGTTATGTCAGGAATGGTGACGAGTCTGTAATCTCAGCGCTTAAGCTGCTGCTGAGGCCATAGGGTCATGAGTGCATAAGTGCCATCTCAAAGAAGAAAGATGGTGAGGGGAATAGCTCAGTTTTACCAGCATTGGTCTTCTGTTCACATTCCCTGTCCCCAGTCCTGACTATATCTGTATCTGTGCCCCAGCTCCTTTCTTTTTCTCTCCTTCCTTCCTTTTTTTCTTTTCTTGTTTTTTTTTTTTTTTTTTTTTTTTTTTTTTTTTTTTTTTTTTTTTTTTCAAGACAGGGTTTCTCTGTAGCCCTGCCTGTCCTGGAACTTGCTTTTCCTTGGTAGATCTTGCTGGCTCAAATTCTCCTTCACTTCCTTTCTGAACAGAGGTTTACAGATGATTTTCTGCTTCCCATGTAGACACTAACTGACTTGGTGTGAAGTGCAGTCAAGTGTGCAGGTGTTTGCTGCTCACTGCTTTGGGGGTGTGCTTTGTCCCATTCGTTTAAAACTGAGCTGGCTTCCTTCTCCCCTCCTCTTCCTCTTCCACAGCTTATGCAGCTTGGTCTCAAACTTTTGATCCTTCTGCCTCGGCAGCTCAAGTGCCAACCCATCAGCACCCCTGATATAACCTATTTTACAAACTAAGGGTATTACTTTGTAGCCCTCAATGTCCTGGAACTTGCTGTGTGGATGCTCCTGCCTCTGCCTCTGCCTCGTGAGTGCTGGGCTTAGAGGCATGTACCGTATGCTCACTCTCCCTCATTAACTTTCCAGATTCTTGACTATTGCTTCTCAGACTGGGTTTTGCTTGTCCTCAAGGTTGAGATCCAAAAGATAAGATTGATAAGAAAGGAATGCTTTTTTTTTTTTTTTAATTGCAGGGAATCAGGCCCGAGTGGTGTCAACATCACCTAAGGTTGCATCAAACTATAATTAAATGCTGAACTTGAAAGCCACTGATTTCCTATTACAGATGAGGAGACCAGCTCACTTCAGCCAACCAGTTCATTTCAAGGCCATGGAGCCAGAGTCCAAGACTTGAGTCATTGTCCCATTATTCCTTTTGACGACCAGGAGCATTCACCCCTTCTCTTGCCTGCAGAGTGCTTGCCCTTATGCCTTTTCCCTTCCTCACTTAGGATGCTCCAGACCTTGTATGACTACTTCTGGTGGGAACGACTGTGGCTGCCTGTGAACTTAACCTGGGCTGATCTAGAAGACAAAGATGGACGTGTCTATGCCAAAGCCTCAGACCTCTACATCACACTCCCCCTGGCCCTGCTCTTTCTCATCATTCGATACTTCTTTGAGCTGTGAGCATGCCCTCAAACCTTCCCTGAACTGTCTGCCAACCTATCAGGCTTCATGTTGGTCTCTTGATACTTAGTTCCAGACAGTGGTGTTCTGGCCACCCACGTCCCTACCCATGCTCCCCCTCCCCCAGGGCACCATTGTCTTCCTGAGGGCTCTGCACCCCCAACCTTTTCCTTCAATGGTTATTTGTTCTCATCCTACACCCGCCTCCTCGCCTGGTCAATAGTGAACATAGGCAGCTTTGTCAGCTGTGGGCAGCCCAGGAGGCTAGAGGAAAGGTGGTTGCCAGGGAACTTGGGAAACTGAGGCCCAGAATTAAGTTTTGCAGTACTTTCTCTGTCCTATTTAGAGGTTAGGAGTGCTCCAAAGGAGCCAGACACCTCTCTCTCATGTCCCTTACCCAGTTATGTGGCTACACCCCTGGCTGCCCTCCTGAATGTTAAGGAGAAAACTCGACTGCGAGCACCTCCCAATGCCACCTTAGAGCATTTCTACCTGACCAGTGGCAAGCAGCCCAAGCAGGTATGAGCTGCAGATGACTCTGGGAGTTGCTGAGTTTGGGTGGGTCAGAGTTTGAATGCTTGCTTTGGAAGGCGAGGACTTGGCAGAGGGTGGGCCTGACTCAGGTTATTGTGGGGAGAGGTTAAGTAGAATGGGGGCACTGCTGATCTGAGGGCTGAATATGATGGTCTCACTATGCCTAGGTGGAGGTAGAGCTTTTGTCTCGGCAGAGTGGGCTCTCTGGACGCCAGGTAGAACGCTGGTTCCGCCGCCGCCGCAACCAGGACAGGCCCAGTCTTCTCAAGAAGTTCCGAGAAGCCAGGTAGGGGAAGTTGGGGCAAATGAAGCTGGGTGGCACAGTTGTGTTTTCTCTTGCTGGGAGGAGAGATGTGGTATGCAGAAGAGGTGAGGGTACCTTGAGAGGGTGTCTGGGGGCAGGGGGCAGTGAGAAACTATTGATCCTCTCACCTTGCTTCCTCTTGCAGCTGGAGATTTACATATTACCTAATTGCCTTTGTTGCTGGCATGGCTGTCATTGTGGATGTGAGTACTGGAAGTGGGAGCACATCCTCTAAGATGGGGTAAGGCCATAGGATGTGTGTGAGTCCTTCTTCCTTTAATCTTTCTTTGCAGAAACCCTGGTTCTATGACTTGAGGAAAGTTTGGGAGGGATATCCCATCCAGGTATGAGAAAATCCCTTATGTAGGAGTGTTCTGTGGCACACAATACCCACTTAAGGGTTTCATGGATAGAAGGCAGAGGACAGTCATGAATGAAGACTATCTTGTGGGGCTAGAAGTGATGAGTTTGGAGGTGTGCCCCTTAGGTAATTGTTCTGGGAGTCCTTACCCCTCTTTCCTCTCCCAGAGCATCATCCCTTCTCAGTATTGGTACTACATGATTGAACTTTCCTTCTACTGGTCCCTGCTCTTCAGCGTTGCCTCTGATGTCAAGCGAAAGGTGGGTGAAGAGGCAAGATGAGGTCATGGGGTGAAGAGACTCCCTTTGACTTCGTGAGGATCTGGGCAGAGCTCCTGGGATGTGGGGAACAGCATTTGAGGGGGAGGAAGAAGGAACAGTGAACAGGGCAGAGTTCCTTGGAGCCTCTCTTTTCTGCAGGATTTTAAGGAACAGATCATCCACCACGTGGCCACCATCATTCTCCTCTGCTTCTCCTGGTTTGCCAATTACGTCCGAGCAGGGACCCTCATCATGGCTCTGCATGACTCTTCTGACTACCTGCTGGAGGTTAGGCTTCCGCACAGTAGAGGCCCCAGTGCAGGTCCCTCATCTTCTAGGGGATTGAGAGGGTATCCTCAGTGCTGCTAACCACATGTACATATTAATGTCTATGGGAGTCAAGAGTCCATGATAATAGATGGGACTATTTCCACAGTCTGCCAAGATGTTTAACTACGCGGGATGGAAAAACACCTGCAACAACCTCTTCATTGTGTTCGCCGTCGTCTTCATCATCACTCGGCTGGTTATCATGCCCTTCTGGTGAGTGGGTGCTCAGGCTCCTGCCCTCAAGCTTTCACCCACAGCCATGCTTACAGTTTGCCCTTAAATCCTCAGGATCCTACACTGCACAATCATCTACCCACTGGAGCTCTACCCTGCCTTCTTTGGCTATTACTTCTTCAATGCCATGATGGCAGTGTTACAGATGCTCCAGATCTTCTGGGCATACTTCATTCTGCGCATGGCCCACAAGTTCATAACTGGAAAGGTGAGGAAGGCCCTTTGTAGATCAAATTCCTTGTCATGCTAACATGGGAGCATGTTGGGGAGGGGGTGGATAATAGGAAACTCAGAGGGTAGCCCTTGGATACTGAAGGATACATAACCCTTTTTGTCCTTTTCACAGCTGATAGAAGATGAACGCAGCGACAGAGAAGAAACGGAGAGTTCAGAGGGGGAGGAGGCTGCAGCTGGGGCAGGAGAAAAGAGCCGGCTCCTAGCTAATGGCCACCCCATCCTCAATAACAATCATCCTAAGAATGACTGAACCATTGTCCTAGCTGCCTCCCACATCAATACACGAGGCCAAGAAACTAGCCAAGCTTCCCTTCAGGGGCAGGGCGCTGGAGCTCTGGGGAGAAAGGCTATGAGGATCCACGCTGACCTTCCTCTCTTCTTCACCCAGCTGCCTTTAAACCAGACAGGGTGGTCTTACTTCCCTCTCTACCTTCCAAGCTACCCTTTCTCTTGCTAATCCTTCTTCAGCTCTGAGGGTTGGAGTCATAATTCACATTCCTCATTCCTAAGAATTTCGAGCTAGCTGTTTGCCTTTGACTCCTTGACTTCACGCCAGGGTTGTGCCTTACTGTCCCTTTTCTGGGCCTCATTCTGCCAAAGCTGGACCAAGGTTCCACCTTTCTAGGCTCCCTAGCTCAGGCCAAAAATGAAAGCTGAGCTACTTTTAACTTCCTTAAATACAAGTCAATTAAGTGGAGAAGGGCATTCATGCCTCTCACTCTACCCCAGGGACCATGGTTCCTAGGATCTCACTGCCTCCCTTCTCTGGTCTCCCTTTCCCTCCATTCAGCTAAGACAAGCTGGTGTGGAGTAGAAGGGCAACTAGTTCTGTTATTTATTGAACATTTGGGGTTTCAGTTGTAAAGCCAGAACTATAGCTAGGACTTGGCATTTCGGTGAGGGACCATTTCAGACCAAAATGTAATGTTAATTTTTTTTTAATTAAAGTATATTAAAGGTTAAATAAAACATGACTGTGTCAGATTTTTTTTTTGTTTGGTTTTTTTGAGACAGGGTTTCTCTGGGTAGCCCTGGCTGTCTTGGAACTCACTCTGTAGACCAGGCTGGCCTCGAACTCAGAAATCCGCCTGCCTCTGCTTCCCAAGTGCTGGGATTAAAGGCATGCGTCACCACCGCCCAGCCTGTCTCAGACTATTAAGACTTGAGAAAGGGGTTAGTTTTCTTAGGTCTCCCTCGTGGTTATGCAACATTTGTTGTTAAAAATTATACAGGGCAAATAAAATTGAGGTGTAAACTAATGATAGTTGCCAACTGGGAAATGACCTCTCCCTGGAAGATCAAGACGGGACTGAGGAGAAAAGACAAACCACAATCTCTATTTTATCATCTTGTTAGAAGACTTTCAAGAAACCGTACAAACCAGGGATGGCAGATACACAGCCCATGTGAATCATGAACACAGGAAAGGATGAGAAGGACCTCAGGCTGATGCTAGAGTGGTCATGTCTACCCACCCTAGTGCCTGCTAGCACCACGCTGGAAAAGTCCCGATCTAGTATCCCCGTTTCTTTCTACTAAGAGCTGGGGAGAAGCTAGATCAGAGACTTGGGGTCAGAGTTCAAAAGTCAGGAAGACTCAGTTCCTGGGTTCTCAAAGTGAGGAAGAGTTTTCCTCTAAAGAAGCCGCCCTCTGCATTCAATGGCCCCACAGCAGCACAGCAGCTCCTTGCCTTCCACACTCCCCACTTCGTAGTTGTAGTCCCAAGTGAGTTCTGTTCCAGCCCGGATTCTCCTGAAGTAGGAAAAAGGACGAGTTTAGAGGGTAAAGGTGAAGCCTGATCACACAGAAAGGCATTCCCCCTCACCCCAATCTCCACAGAACTTGCCCCTTCCTCATTATCCCCCTTACTTGCTGGCAAAGAAAGCCACCCAAGGGAAGCGAAGATCATGGGTATCCACAAAAACATTCTGGACAAACAGGTTGGGGCTGCAACTGTGCTGTAAGTTTAAAGATGACAGTCAGTCAACCAGGGAAGCATCTGGCTCTGTGAGAATTAAAAAGATACCTATCTAGTCTCTACCCCTTATATACTACAGCAGCCATGTTTTCAAAGGAGGCTACTTCACTCTGTGAGATCAACTTATAAGCAAAGGTAGGTTTATACAGTATCTTTAAAAAGTTAGGCATTTGAGAGCAATGGCATAACCCTACACCTAGAGGTGGTTCAGAGTCTCACATTGAGGTAGCGGCCTAGGTTGCCTTCAAGTTTGGCATCAATGATGTAGCAAGACTCTTCTCCATCATAGAACTGGCGTGTGTTCTTACGAACTGGTGCACTCTCCCCCTTGTCCACAGAAGCCATGTTGGTTGATTTAATGGCAATACCATGGGTTGATTTAAGAGCAAAGCCTCGGGTTGATTTTACTGCCACCTGGCGCTTTGTTGGTCCTGGAAAGGAAAAAAAGGGGGGTGGGGGAGAGGTGGTCAGGGATCATCCCAACTCCTCCTAACTAGACATTCTACCACCTTCACTTTAAGTCAGGCTGGTCTCAAACTTGTGATCCTCCTGTACCCCTTTCCTCCCAAGTGCTGGAATCATATGTTACCACCATGCCCCATGTCCTCTCATTTTTATTCCAATTATTGCAGTTCAGGGATAGCAATAAGCTAGTTAAATTCAGGCTAAGACTCTAAATCACTAGCCAGGTGTGGCTGGTGGACGCTTTTAATCCCAGCACTTGGTAGGTAGAAGTAGGCAGATCTCTTGAGTTCAAGGCTAACATGATCTATATAAAGAATTCCAGAACAACCAGGGCTACATAAAAACTGTCTTGGGGATGGTGAAGACCATTAGTCACATTGTTTCAGATGAGGTTTCATGTAACTCAGGTGGTCTCAAAACCCACAAGCTTTCTGTTTCTGAGTCTCAGATGGACTATAGGTTTGGAACACCAGCCTGAGCTTTTTTTTTTTTTTTTTTTTTTTTTAAGATTTTATTTATTTTATATATGAATATGCTGTAGCTGTCTTCAGACACATCAGAAGAGGTCATGAGATGGTTGTGAGCCACCCATGTGGTTGCAGAGAATTGAACTGAGGACCTTTGGAAGAGTACTCAGTGCTCTTATCTTAACCACTGAGCTATCTCCCCAGACCCCTAGGCTGAGCTTTTTTGTCACACTTTATTAAAAGCATGAATACTTATGTCGAACTAAGGAGCTGAAGAAAAGGAGGGGTACTGGGAAGAAAGGAAGGGCATGTGGCAGTTTAACAGTTTAGCTGAGTTGGGAAGTCTGTCTAACTTCTAGGATCTGAAATATTTCCTTCTTTTAAAATTGTTTGTTTTTCCTACTTTTCCTGTTCCTACTACATCCAAACATTTTCAGACTACCTGACAAGTTCTTCTTGTCCTCAAAGTCATCACCATCAGAGCCAGAAGAGATGGTCTGGATGTCATCACTGTCAACGGCTGTGGCTGAAGTCTGACCAGCAGTGGGCTTTCGGCTGGTTCCACTTTCCCCCTCACTTTCTGTGCTGCTGGACAGTGTCAGGATATCCTGGGGAGACAGAAGAGTGTGAAGAAAGGAGAGAAGCTAATGGAAAGGCTGCTTCAAGTTAATACTTTTACCCATGATTTGGCAAAAGTGGCTATGGCGATAGTAAGATGATGATTACATGTTGGAGAACAAAGCACAAAGTCAAAGCCAAAGAGACTTAACAGTCACTCTAGCCAAGGACTTGAGGTGGGACTGCTGTATGCTCCTTTACTTGGACTGAATAAAACAGAAGGCAGGATAAGCATAGGAATGTCACTCACATCAGGGTTTGACTGAGTAGAAGTCACAACTCGCTGGCTCTGAAGCATAGAAATCTTACTAGCTGGTCGGCGAAGCCCTTCAGACTTCATGGGAGGACTGTGTCCTTGATTCTGAGAGCCTTCAGTAACTCTACGGGAAGGCCAAAGATTGAGAGGGTCAGGTTGCTACTGGCTGTTTCTTAGGCTTCTTTTGTAAACTTGAGAGGAGGAGGCAGACTTAGAAGGAAGAAAAAGCAAGCACTTACACTGATGTCTTGTTTCGGTCCTCAGCGTCCTGGAAAGGAACAAGGGAAAGGTTAATGCTTTCATGGTCCATCCAAAGTAACAGGAGATCTCCAAAGACAACATTACCATAAGCCAGCAAGAGGCACACTAAAGGAGGTGATGTGGGGAAATCACGTTGTAACTGGTTAACAATAATAGTCAGCAGTATAGTTCCCTGGCAAGGGCCTTTTTAACCTTTCCCAATAATGGGCCTCAGAGAGCAGCACTGTGAGCAGTGCTTCATGGACCTAACAGTTTCACTACCTGTAGTGGAGAATATTTCAACATCAAAGATACGATTTGTAATAGCAAATTTTAGGCCAACCTGGAGTGTACTGTGACCCTAACTAAAAACAAAAGCAATAAACCCTTTATTTCTTTGTATTTGAGATGAAGTCTTAAAAGGGGTGAGCCCCTGTCTCAATCTTCATTTGTACCAATGCTAAAGGGCATTGCTTTTAACATGGACACATATTCCCTGATTCTTGCCACGTAACACCTTACACTGCCCTGGAGTCTGCCAGTTAGGATGGCCATCACCAGATGCAGCTTTATACCTCCAGGACTGTGAATTAAAATAAGTAATTTCTGGAGGGGAAATTTCTTACCTCTTTTTTAGGCTGCTTATTGTCCCCTTCATCCTTGAAGCTCAATCCTGAGAAAGAGGCCCTTTCAGCCTCTCCCCGGCCTCCCCCAGCACGGCCATCTCCACCTTCACTAGTCTTGAAGGAGGAACGGCTGTCAGAGTCAGCAAATCCACCTTCACTGACACTATTGCAGCTCAACCATGAGGCCACCTTGTTCTTGGGTGTCTCTTCAGAAGAAGGTGGATTGCAGCCCCCTACAGACATGGAGGGAGGGACAGGAACATGTGGAGGCCCGAGGTCTGCGGGGCGGGAGTCCTTGGAAGTCACCTCAGACAATTCATTCTCCTTCTGACCCCTAGTCTGCCTCCGGGTAGCATAGCTACGCCACACTGAACTGGTGCTGAAGTCTTCATCCTTACAGAAGTTGTCATCAGAGCTGTCATCATTGGATTCTTCAGGGTCCTCTGAACCGCTGTTGCCATCTTCCTGGTCCTTCATATCTACCCCACTGCTGTCAGAGGAACTGGGAACATCACTCTCATACCCTTCCTTGAAGTTCTCCACACTTTCAATGTGGTCCAGATTTGCAAAGTACTCATCACCCATCTCCAGGCCTTCTTT